ATGTTTATATGTGTATATTTTTTAACGTTATTTTATGAACATGTTTCTTATATACTTATAAAATAATCTATATTTTTATCACATAATAACCCTGTTTTTGATCCAATATTTTATCGAAGCTCGTAATTTTTAAAAAAAAAGAAAGTTCACAAAATGAGATGAAGCGTGTTCGTAATATGATCAATTATATACGTATATACATAAAAAAAATATTTAACAAAATAATATATGTATATACATAAAAGAAAATCAAAATTAATGTCCCTCGGCCACTGGTTTAAATCACATAAAATTATCGTTAATAATGATTTAAACGCTCTTAATATCAAGCTTCCTTTATTTCATCATTTAATCTAATTATTCAATAAGTGATAACTAAATCTTATTGATGTCTTTCAACATACTTTCATTTATTTTCTGTCGAAAATAAACATATAGTCATAGAAATCCGAATCAATTTTTCAAATTATCTTTTAATAATAAATACCTTATCTATAAGAACCTATTATTAATGTATGGTTAACAATCTAATTTTTGTAGAAAATTAAAAGAAAATATAATTAATTAATGGGTAAACATCTTATGGGTTTTTGGCTAAACCAACACGTGTCTAGTAAACCTGCACGTGTNTAACTAATCTCTTGGAGATACTCTAATATCTTTGTCAGAGAGGTCCTTTGAAATCAAAGAAGAGGCTGCCACGTCAGCCGAATAGCACGCACGTGCAGGTTTACTGGACACGCGTTGGTTTAGCCAAAACCCATAAGATGGTTTACCCATTAATTAATTATACTTTCTTTTAATTTTCTACAAAACTTAGATTATTAGCCGTACATTAAACCATAAGGCCATGGGCCATGTTAATCCACTGATGGACAAGCAGTTGGGCCTATCATATGATCCACTGGCCAACTCGAACTTACCTAGAAAGACATTCTGTTTGGTCGGCCCAGTACAAAAATTCTTGTTAATCTCGAATTTTGGACTTAATGATGAAAATTTAATACAATAAATACTATGGGTCACCAAAATTGATAAAACATATTACAACTAGATCTCTCTCATTTTGACTAAGGGTGACCAAAATTGATAAGAGATTGGACTCTCTAACTGTGATTAACCTTATTAATACAAAAATTGTTCCCGAGCTAAGTTTTCTAGATCCACGTGTTGTTGTTCGGGTCTAAATGGATGAATGAAGAAGTGCACCCAAGTAGACTTTAAGAACTCAAAACAATTAATTTTTGTGAGAATTAATAGTTTGAAACAGTGGTAGAGTCAAAAATTTAGTTTATGGAGGACATTTAAAATTCCAATAAATAATTAATATTTTTCAATCAATAACAAATGCAATGATAAATTTTTATTTGTTTATATAAAGGTCAATCATTGGAAATTAAAAATTAATTATAGTCCAATCACAAGTAATTTCACCTTTAAATTAAGAGTATAAACAAAAATAATTATAAATTTTACTCAAAAATATATCAATCACACAAAACATTAAAAATTAATGATTGGTTGCAACTCATAGTTTAGAACAAAAAAATTGTTAGCCAATAATTATGAGTAAAAAGACGTTAAAAATTAACAAAATATTAATGGAAAACATTGTTATTGTTTGGGATTTCATGTAAAGTAGGAAATAGCTTAGGTGAGACTTGCAAAATCACCAATTGCATATTCTTATGTTTCTGTTTCTCTTTAACTTCCTTAGTCTCTTTTCTATTTTTATTTCATGAAGTAATCTCATGGGATTACGATGTTTATATGTGTATATTTTTTAACTTTATTTTATGAACATGTTTCTTATATACTTATAAAATAATCTATATTTTTATCACATAATAAACCCTGTTTTTGATCCAATATTTTATCGAAGCTCGTAATTTTTTAAAAAAAAGAAAGTTCACAAAATAAGATGAAGCGTGTTCGTAATATGATCAATTATATACGTATATACATAAAAAAAAATATTTAACAAAATAATATATGTATATACATAAAAAAAATCAAAATTAATGTCCCTCGGCCACTGGTTTAAATTACATAAAATTATTGTTAATAAGGATTTAAACGCTCTTAATATCAAGTTTCCTTTATTTCATTATTTAATCTAATTATTCAATAAGTGATAACTAAATCTTATCGATGTCTTTCAACATACTTTCATTTATTTTCTGTCAAAAATAAATATATATAGTCATAGAAATCCGAATCAATTTTTCAAATTATCTTTCAATAATAAATACCTTATCTATAAGAACCTATTATTAATGTATGGTTAACAATCTAATTTTTGTAGAAAATTAAAAGAAAGTNACTATATTTTGTACAAAATAAAATTGAAAAAGAGAAAGTGCAAGTATAAAATAATAATTTGATGACTTTATTATGTGAATTAGAAAGCCGGTCACAAGCCAAATGGGAGAGAGAATCCTTTACTTTATTTTTAGATGAAAACAAAAATTATTTTTTTTGTGTGTGGGAGAGAGAGAGAGAAAGGGGTTGATGTTTTAACACGAGAGACATAAGAGAGAGTGTTTGATTGATGTAACTGACCGGTTATAAAGAGTAATTAATGGTATTGATTATTGACTTTTTCATTTTTGCAAGTGAGTCAGATGACTTTTTTTTTTTTTTTTTTGTTAAAATTTCATATTTTAGCTAAATGGGCTGTGAGCCTTTTAAG